ACCACCAGCTCCACCAGCCGAGGGCAGTTCAGTCCAACGCGGCCCAGCATCTCTTTACTGACTGCCCGGCCAAAGTACAACTGGGTGACGGGGGTCTCGTCCCGGAAGAAGGCATCAAACTCCTCCTCAATGCGGTAGAAGTACATGACGATGTTGACCTTAGGTGAGTGTCCAAAGCCTCCCAGCTGCTTCTTTGGAGGGTGTGAAATTGTGTCTGTCCAGGGTTTTTGCTCACCAAGTCGATGCGCAGGTGCTCCAGGTGGACGTGTTTTTCAGAAGAGAGGGCCAGCAGGAGCTCGTCACTCAGGAGATGGTAGTTTAACGCCAGCTCTCTGAGTCCATGACACTGATCCGCAACACACAGGATACCTGAGGACAGAGGGAGAAGTCTGAGCGTCTGAATGGGAACTGATGAGGACAGCTGTTCATCTTCAGCAACTTCAGGGTGTCACTGTTGTTGGCAACCAGCACCTTCAGGGACGGGTCGTCAACCAGCGTGTCATCAATCTTTATGGAAGATAGGGACTTGGAGTTGACAAACACTACTGTCAGTGCAGACGCAAAGTGGGCCTGAGGAAGGACAAACAATGTTGATAAAGGACAGGATTTTTGAAAAAAGGGAAACATGTTTTTATATTTCTACCATATAATCCAGATCTTGTGTGTCAAACAAACAGGGCAGCAGTGAAAGGGTGGAAATGTGCGTATGAGATGCAGTGTCTTACCTGAGACACATCCATGAAGGTCTTGCTGTGGAAATCAACCCCAGGGTCTTAATGGTGCAGTTCCCCAGCTGAGAGAGGATGTCACAGGCCGCCTCGGCAGATTCTGTGCAGCTATCCATCTGATTCACAAGCAGTGATTCACCTTTTAGGTAAAAATAAAGAAAAACCCCAATGTTAGATATGGAAAGAAGAAGGTGTACTGTGAGAATAATCCCAGCCTAGATGTGTTAACCACACCTATGCCAAGGCAGCGTCATGATCAATACTGCAGCGGATTTTAATTAAGCAGGCCACATATTGTTATAAAGACAGCTGTGGTGTGAAAGGGGAGGAGGTGAAAGGAGAAAGGGTTGACGGCAGGAAAGACTCTCACTTTGAAGCTGACGTAATGCAAGTGCTTGGCGTGCTTCCTGATGATCTGCTGGATGAGGTCGGGGTGAGTGGAGCGCAGGTAAGATGTAGCCGGCTGACTAAGCTCCAACTCAAACCCCCTCCACAGATCAGGGGTGTGAAAGATGTCATTCCAGCAGCGGCACACTGAGGAGGCCCTGGCCCGGTCTACGAGGGACAGATGCTGGAAGATCTGCAGGACGACGTGTGGCGGCAGGCGACCCCAGTCCTCTACTGCAGGAAGAGCAAAGCAGGGCGTCCTCAACTTCTGTCTCTTAGCTCTCTTCTCAAGGGATGGGAAGTGCTGGCACTTTGGTTTGAGATCTGTCCTTCCTCGTTTCATTCAGAAACAAATCACATTTTGTATAAATGCCAAAAGTAAGGTGATCTATGCAGAGTGTGTACCAAAGATATCTGAGCTTTTATTAGATTTTTGATAGTGGTTTACAGTCTCATACCCGTCAAAATATAATTATGTCAATTTATCATAAAATAAGGTATTATTGTCCCTTCCTATAGACAGTTGTTTAATAACTAGACCCCAGGAAGTAATTTACAGTTTTTAAATGCTATTAATTGTAATTTGTTCAACAGTAGTAAGGATATAGATACAAGACATTACACAACAAATACAATAGTCATTTCTTGACACCTTTTTGTAAAAGTATTTTAAAAAGAGTTTACTACTTTATAAAAACCATCAACCCATACTTTGAACTGAGCTGAAGTGAATGGATAATCACTAGCTGTAGCGCCAGAGACACATTAACAGAAACCTTGCTGACTATGAGCATACAAAAAACACCCATATAAAACCAAACAAAGTAAAAACTCCAACTAACGGGTGATACTTATCAAGGGTTGACAAACAACATTTTCCTCTCTGTTGTGTGCTCTGCCGGTGGAGGAGACATCGTTCATTGGAGCCATGGATGGAGATGACTTGATCAATGCTGGCTGTGGCTGAGATAGGACAGCAGGAGCAGGTCTCTTCACAAGCGACTCTCACGGCGTTGTGTGTGTTGTGTGTGTGTGTGTGTGTGTGTGTGTGTGTGTGTGTGTGTGTGTGTGTGTGTGTGTGTGTGTGTGTGTGTGTGTGTGTGTGTGTGTGTGTGTGTGTGTGTGTGTGTGTGTGTGTGTGTGTGTGTGTGTGTGTGTGTGTGTGTGTTTTATACGTGTGTGTGTGTGTGTTTTATACAGTAAGCTTAATTAAAAAAGAAAAACACTCAGCAATTAATCAAATCATATTTCACATTTCAAGTTACAGTCATTCCCCCAAAAATTAAACAGGATATCTCTGACCACCTAACAAGACACTTCATTCCTCTGGTTTCCTTCCTGATTGTGTTGCATTGTTGGAGAAGCCTGTGACCTAAGATTTTCAACGACATAATTACTCTGTAGCTATGTTAGTTTGACAATAAAAAACCTTGAACCTTGAACCTTGATTGGGAAAGCAGCCACCCCTAGAAAGAAAGATTACCAGGGTAATGTCATGTAGAGGTCAGTCAAACTGGACGGTTATGTAGAGGTCAGTCAAAACTGGACGGTGGAAGGACACAAGTTTGCCCTGTGTTTTGAGTGCCCCCAAAGTGTAAGGTCCCTGGAGTTATTTCAAACCAGTGTGTCAAAACCAGGTCAAAACAGACTATGGACCAAAGATGTATCATATTTCACTGAGCATAGAGGGCTTATGAATGAGGACAGCTACTGGTCGGACAAAACAACGGAGCTATAGTGAACTGAATTGAAGTTATTTTTAGTTGATTAACATGGAGGAAAATGTATATAAATTGAATTAAAAGTAATGTAAAGTACTCAGATTGTGTTCTTAAGTAAAGAACCAGAGTGTAGGAATGCTCTGTTACAAGTAAAAGTCCTTTATTTCAAATGTTACTCAGGTATAAGTACAAAAGTATTAGCATCAAAATATACTCAAAGGACCAAAAGTAAAAGTACTCATTATGCAGGTCGGCCCATTTTCAGAATAATGTATAGCATAGGTTTGGATTATAGTTATTTATGCATTATTGTGTTTATCACAGCTGGTAAAGCATGCAGCTAATTTAATGAATTACTTGTATACTGCAGGGTTGTCTGACTGTGAATATTGCTCCAGATGTCCCTCAAGTCTTATTTAAGTGTTGTTATTTTTTACAACATGAATCTGCTAAGTAACTAAAGGTATAGAATAAATGTAGTGGAGTAAAAGTACACTATTAACCTTTGAAACGTAGTGGTGTAGAAGTACTAAGTAGCAAATCATTGAAATACTTCAGTAAATTAAAAGTTCCTCAAAATTGTTCTAAGGTAGTACTTGAGAAAATGCACTTATCTACTTTACATCCCTGATTAAATTGAAAACAGCTTTAGCCTTCAGTAAATGCAGCCTGACAGGGCTAATTTAGGGCAAAATTACCCAGAGGTGTTGCCATGGATTGCAGCCCCGCCCATTTAGTGACGTAGACGCGTGGAAACGTCGTTCATAGGAGACGCTAGTTACGTCTGCATGAGAAGAAGAAATAAAGACAGCTTCACAGAGCTCAGCTTTGTTAAAACAGGGGAATAAAAGACATACTCCAGCACCCTCTGTTATTCTCCATAGACAGCACGATGCCACGACGCTGCTGTTTTGTTTTATTTTTTGAAGAGAAGAAGCTGGCTACTTAGCTTAGCCACAGTCTGACAGCCAACGTCATTAGCCTGTAGCTAACTGGTTACTTTGAGTAAGGTAAGACTTTTATTTACATGCTAAAACTAACGTAAGCTGTGTTATTACATGACACTTTCAGTAAGATCAATGTCTACATTACATTTTTTATAAACTATACACTGTTTTTTAAGTTTAGTAACAAACAGGCGACAGCTAATGATACGTTTAACTTGGTTTTTTTAGAGCTAAGTCAAGCTATCTTTATTAGCCGCTTAAATCGTAACTTAATTAAATGATCATTTTACTCACTCGAAAACCCTCATCAAAAGTCTTAAAACGTTGTTACACATAAACCATTTATTCGGTCTACAGCTAATTACCTTTGTTAGGAAATAGCCTTAGTCTTAAGGAGCATCAAATACACTTTTATGTTGACTTTCTGTTGCAGGGTTGCTTTTTCTTTCTGTACATCACTGAAGTTGTGGTAATTGTATTTATGATAACAGTAAAATAATGTGTTGAGCTTTAATCTGCTGTTGTTTCATTACCGAGTAATTAAATCCAAGCAAGACAACATGGACATTATAGCTTTCCCTTGCGTTTTTACTTTTGTTTTGATATCATTGAACAAATACGCTTTGTTGTATTTATTGATGTCTAGTGACTGTGCAGGAAGTGGAAATACTTATCGCAAACACAAATATACATAAAAGGTGGCAAGTTTTGCTGTTTGTTTCTTCACAACTGTGGTAATGAATACAATTTAAAAAGTTGATCTGATAAAAAATTAGGTTTTTAAAAAGTGCAAGAAATACTTGTTTCTTTACAATAGAGAGCCCAGTTCTGTGAAGTGTTTTCATATCTTGTTTTGTGGACAAGGCTGAAAGATGTAGGTACAACAACGACTTGTATTTTTTCACAGCTACGAGCTCCTGATGTTCTTAGTAGCATATATCATTTTGGATTTTCATTCAAATTAAATATTTGAGTTGAAATGTTTACAGTAACATTTCACCATATTACAAACAAATTCTAATGAACTCTTGTGTTGTTTTTGACATGACTTTAGCTTTTCAGCCATTTTTGTTTATCATTACATTTGGATGATTCTTCTGACCTGTCTCTTTGAGTACTTGCCCTGCATTTGTTAAAGGTTTGCTCTTGGTTCTTTTTATAAAGACTTGAGTTTTACATGTTGTACTTCGTGTGTCCCTTTTTTAGAGAAAGCAACCATGACACAGAAAGTCAATCTGTCTTCAGTCTCCCTCGGAGTGGAGGGCATGACATGTGGCTCCTGTGTCCAGTCCATAGAGCAGCGAATTGGGACGCTCCCCGGGGTCATACATATAAAGGTAAATGTGCAAAGATGTTCGGTGAGAACATGGATTATTACTTTTAGTTTCAATCAGCATTTTCTTCCAAGTTGATATGCGATTTGTTTATCTTGCTGCATGTCTGAATGTCTTAAAAACGTTCTGAAATGACTATCATGGATGTTGTACAATCCAATCTGTAATTTAAAAGGCAGATATGCATACATTTTTATATTAACAAAAGGGTCCTGTCCATTTTAATGTAAGGCAGTTTGATTATACCCACAGCTGTACTCCCTCAGGACTAACTTGAATTTAAAACCGACTTACATCCATTTGGCCAAGAGAGATTGCTATATTACAATTGTTGTGGTCCTCTGTTTTGTTTATTGTGTGTTTACCCCTCAGGCTTGGGTTAAAGGACAAGATAATGTAATAGAGTGTTCCGGATAAAGCTCTGCCCTTCTCTGTGGACTGTGACAACAGGTCGATACGCAGCTTGCACCCACAGGAAATGTCATTTATGTCTTAAGAGAATTCAGTTCCTGGGTCTTTTTTTAATTCATTTATATAGTCATGATCTGGTAGGAGTGAATAGATGTTTTTGGTAGAACAGACTCATTTTGTCTCATTTTGGCCCTCCCCCCTCTCATTCTCAGAAACAGAAATGTTAAGCCAACAGGCACAATCACTTACAACTTAACCCCCACTGTGGTTGTTACTTATGGCCCAGTCAAGTGATCTCTTCAGCGGGTCACATGTTTCCTTCTTGCTAAAGAGGAAGAGCTAAGGGTCATCAATACTGACACAACACGCTTTGAGCTTGCCAAGGCAAATTACTCATTTTACCCCATTTTTTTAAATATGTGTATAAGGTCAATTGTGGAGACGAGGCAGATTCACAGTACGGCTGTTAAAATGTCACAAGATAATGTATATAGAATAGAATATAATTCCTTTATTGTCATCGCACCAGGTACAACGACATTTAAAAAAAGCAATCCTCGCAGTGCATTTCCACATAAAACGAAAAAATATATATTTATATAAACATATACACACATAAACATATGCTCACACATCCATACCAACATGCATACATGCCCGCACATAATTTAAATACAGTTTACAATATAAAAAACACAGGGATGATATTTTGCATCTCTGATGTCGATCAGTTAATAAATTAATAAAACTATTAAAAAGTAGTGCTATTTTATTGTATTATTGATGATGTGTGGGTAAACTACATTAAAGTGACAATAGACACATTTTTGCTTTAATTGATCTTGAACTAGTAACTAAAGTACATTTTGATTGCCCCATCTAATCGCTTCATGGCACCATCTGCGTCAATAAGACCCCTTCACTGTGCCCTTCTACCTGCCACTGTGTTCTATCTCCCAAAGACCTAATGCATTGTGTCCTGTGCATCTTTATTCAGATGAAAGTAGCTAGAACTAGCTTCAAACCAGCTAAAAAAGCTGTCTATTGGCTCTTTAATTTCTTAACAGCATTTTTGGAACATTAATGTGCGCTCAGGAAATTCTACATGCTGTTATTAATCTGAAAGAAGAAAGCTGCCTTTTATCCTCATGGATGAATTAACCCGATTTATGAGTCGAATAAAAGTCAAATGCAGCTATTGTAAGCTACACTGATTTAGTTTAGCCGGATTGATTGTCCCATTTCTTTCACGTTTTATGAATTTACTCTATTTTAACCTTGACTTTTATGTTGTAGGTGTCTTTAGAGCAGAAGAATGCCACTGTATTATTTGACCAGAGCCACCAGAGCCCAGAGTCTCTGTCGGAGGCCATCGAGGACATGGGCTTTGAATCGAGTCTATCAGCGTCCAGCGCAGCCACCCCCGTCTCCACGGACACCCAGCTGATCCCCACCTCAGGCCTGACACCTGCAGCCCAGCAGGAGGCTCTGGAGAAGCTGTCCCAGATACAGGGAGTGTTGGACGTCAGAGAGAGCCCCTCCCCGATGGGTCTCACTGTTACCTTTGTTCCTTCCCTGACTTCTTCTTCGCAGCTGAGTGAGGCGGTGGAGGTCCCAGCACCCAGCAGCCCAATGCAAATAACCCCAAACATGTCTCCATCGCACACTGCGGATGGCGGGGCGGCGCTCCTCAAACTGAGCATTGAAGGAATGACCTGTCACTCCTGCACTACTACCATTGAAGGAAAGATTGGAAAACTAAATGGGATTGAGAAGATCAAAGGTGATGTTTTTTTTACAAGCTTGAAGTCATACTGCTTCAGTGTCTGATGTAAAAGTGATGTTGTGACACAGTTGCTGCGCAGGAATGTACATCTTAAAGATAACAATTGTCACGTCATGTGAGGTTCTTTGCATGGAAACAGTTGACAGGTTGCTCTGTGGGATTTGACAATGACTCATGAAATACTTCTACTGGTATTGTTGTAAGTAGTGACACGTTTACAGATTCTGTGCGCAGGAAGACTGAAGCTGCAGCTGTATGTTTGTTTTTCTAGAAACATTGTCCCAAATGGAGTTAAATATTAATATTTCACAAAGATGATTTCCTCATGACCCTTTTATAATAATTACAATAATCTTCATTTATGAAGAGCTTTTCAAAACCCCAGATGCAAAACAAGTGCTTCAAACAAGGCAGAAAATTATAATTAATATATTGTAAAATCCCCTTTAACAGAACAGTATAATAAAACCATCAATACTCAAATGATGTGTGCTTAAAGTCATTTTTAACAAGAGATTTAAAAGATGTTATCAACTCAAACAGCCTGATTTCCTCAGGTAGGACAGTCCAGAGCCCTGAATGCAAAGCCTCTGTTCTCTCTGGAGTTCAGCTTTAAAAGACTTCTTCCCAAGTTGGAAATAAACACCCGCCAGGACCTTAAACAGGGACAAAGCACACAGAAAGGACACCTGATTTACTTGATTATATTACCTTAGTATAAATGATGCATGACAAAGGGCCCCTGATCTCATATTAACAGGATCATATGGGACTAAATGATTGTTTAATGGTGATCGAAGGCTTATGTGTACATTTCATGTAGGCATTTTTGGACTTTCGTTTTTGTTTGCCTCATTGTTTTCAATCATTTGCGTCATCTTTACGTGCACAATGACCTGTTCTAGTGAAATATGGTCTTTTATGCTCTGCTTTGGTATTTTTAACTCTGTCATGTCTTTATCGTCCACAGTTGTTTTGGAGACTCAGGAAGCTACAATCGTGTACCTGCCTTACCTCATCACTGTCCAAACCATCACCGACCAGATTGCTGTTTCTGGCTTCAAGGCGTTCGTCAAGTCCAAGCCTCGCCTCCTGCAGCTGTCCCTCAGCGAAATCGGACGTTTAGTTGATTCCCAAAAACCAACTCTCTCTTCACCATCAGAGGCATCAGAGGAGTCAGAAATCTTCATAGACACAAAACTTATTGCGCTCAGGGTAAAAGGTATGCACTGCCGTTCATGTGTGGTCAATATCCAGGACAATATCTCCGTGCTGCCTGGTGTCTCCTCAGTGGAGGTTTCTCTGGAGAAGGAGAAGGCCTCCGTCTGTTACGACCCTGTAAAGGTCACTGTGGCTCAGTTGCAGCAGGCCATTGAAGCGCTGCCTCCAGGGAACTTCAAGACACAGCTCTGGGGCTCCTTGGCCTCTCTCAGTCCTGTTCCCACTCTGCCCACTGCTCTCTTAACTCCCCCCCGGCCTGCTCGAGCAACACAGGCCACACCCGCTGCGTCACAGCCCTGCTTCACCCAGCCTCTAGCATCCACAGTTAATATTCACATCGAGGGCATGACATGCAACTCCTGTGTCCAGTCCATTGAAGGCATGATCTCCCAAAGGAAAGGGGTCACGTCGGCCCAGGTCTCTCTGTCCGAGCACCAGGGGACCTTCGAGTACGATCCACTCCTGACCACACCTGAGGAGCTGAGGGAGGCTGTGGAGGACATGGGCTTTGATGCCTTCCTACCTGGTGAGAGGAGACGTGGTGTGGTTGTTGAGTCTGCTTATTTCTCACGTAGTAAAATGGCTAATTTGTATTTGAACTAGAGAATCGCCTGCAGGTAGTCTTAAGTTCAACTTTGTTGTTTTAGGATGCTCATCATTCAGTGGGTATTGTTGAGACATTTCCTTTTTCCCCCCTTGTTTTCTGCAGAGACCAATTCATTGCTTCCTGTACTAAAACCAAGTCTCTCAAAGTCTTCAAATCTATCAAATGTGAAAGATAATGAGCTAGACGGTGACCTACAGAAAGAGACTCGGGCACGCAACGGAGACAAAAACGCTAAATGCTTCATCCAGATCGGAGGGATGACCTGTGCTTCCTGTGTGGCAAACATCGAGAGAAACCTCAAGAATGAAACTGGTCTGTAAAAACTGCAAATAAATATTAGATACCAGATTTAATGTTCTCCACACGTCAGATTCAAAACCACAACACAGTCATTGAAGAAAGTATTTTGACATGCAAGTTATTAACTGTGTAAACATAACCTAACATTAACTCAAACATATAATCTTACATCATTTCTTGGATTATTATGCTATTTGTAGAATTCATTTGAAATTGTGGTTTGGTATGATTGTTTCCGACTGGTGTGATCCAAACATTTCCACTCATCCAAATGCAATAATTTCCAAAGTCCATAAATTATTTGTAATTCATGAGCTATTATGCTTCAATCTGTATTTAAGCTTGTTTAGTTTTTCAACATTTTCACTGAGGTTAAGGATAATTCAAAGCTACATTCTTAGAAACCCAACAGAAGCTTTGAATGTGAAAAAAACATTCAGTTTTATTTCATTAAGCATTAATCGTACTGTTTGTGCTTTCACCAGGAACTGAAGATACATGTTTTAATGTTTTGCAGGTATCCACTCTGTACTGGTAGCACTGATGGCGAGTAAAGCAGAGGTGCGTTATAACCCTGATCTCATCGACCCTGTGAAGATAGCCGAGTGTGTGAAAGAGCTCGGCTTCTCCGCCTCTGTGATGGAGAACTATGAAGGTTCAGATGGAAACCTAGAACTCGTGGTGAGTAAACCTACGGTCGCATTAACACTTTTAGTGTTAGATTAAAAAGGAAAAGACACATTCAACTCAGTACATTTATTTGCACAGTATCACATCCATAGATAAACATTTCCATCACTAGTGAAGAAGGTCTAAAACATGTATCCTATTTTTCAGTAGATCAAATAAATGTCTGTTCCTCACTTCATCCCCTCTTTAATATATTGTTCTTCCTTTCCCTTCTTGACTGCTCCTCTCCACCTTCTTTCAGGTCAGGGGAATGACGTGTGCCTCTTGTGTTCACAAGATTGAATCCAGCCTCATGAAAGAAAAGGGGATTATATATGCCTCTGTTGCCTTAGCAACCAACAAAGCACACATTAAGCACGACTCTGAAATTATAGGGCCGCGAGACATCATCAAACTGATCAAGGTATTAATCCTGTTATTTAAGCATTTGTTCAGTTATTTTTAACGTTTCTTTTTGCATGCTAACATCGTTTATGTAAACCAATACCATTATGAAGGATTTGTTTGTATCAGTAGTTTGACTGTTAATTGCAGAATCTGGGGTTTGAAGCTTCTTTGGTGAAGAGGGACCGCACTGGCAGTCACCTGGACCACAGCAAAGAGATACGGCAGTAAGTAGCATTTTTGTGTACACCAAGAACACACACAGCCTCTATTTGTTTTTATTTATTTTGGTGATGACTCAACATTCAACAATATGTTTTGCTTATCTCAGGAAAACTTGCATTCACTTACAGAGAGGGCAACACCATCTCTTTATATTCCTCAATGAATTCTGATTATACAAAAACCAGCTTCTCTTACATTTGTACACAAGTTGCATATCGCTTGGACCATTAGTGCCAGGGAAAACTGTAAATTGTGTCAATGGGGAATAATGTTTTGAAAGATAGGTCATATATATTTGAGAATAGCATAAGGTCATGATAAAAATCCTCTTTTTATGTAAACCTTCCTGTACACGCATAAAGGCACCATAAGTCTATACAATACATACACAGTCTATAATATCAATTCATTACTTTGACCTTTTTTGGAATGATTTAATCTAAACAGATTCAATGTGTGATAAAGTCATAAACCTTGACAACAGACCCTCAAAGCTTTAACATTAGCTTGGCATGTAAAGGAAAAATGACCTGCAGTACAGCCTTAACACTATAAACATGGGTTTACTTTATGTATATGCAGTGTTTGTGGGTTATTCATCGGAGAAGTGAAATGAAAAGTCTCCATGGACATTTCCTTGCCCCTCTCTAAGGACTATTAAAACATAGATGACAAAATAAAATGCACAACTGTCTTTGCTCTCTAAGATGGAGGAAATCTTTCCTGGTGAGCTTGGTTTTCTGCGTGCCTGTCATGGGCATGATGACCTACATGATGATCATGGACCACAACATGAATGTTTCACACCAACACAACGCCACCATGGACGACCGCAACCACTACCACGCCACCATGTTCCTGGAGAGACAGCTGCTCCCAGGCCTCTCCATCATGAACCTGTTGTCCTTCCTCTTCTGTGTGCCTGTACAGGTATCTCCCCTGCACTCTCAGGAACAGCACAAATATTCAGATTTTATAAGATGGACTGAATGTAATGTTTTGGTGAATTCTGTGTTTCCTCTCTTTAGTTTATTGGAGGTCGCTACTTCTACATTCAAGCCTACAAAGCCCTGAAACACCGATCTGCCAACATGGATGTGCTCATAGTGCTGGCTACCTCCATAGCCTTCACCTACTCACTGATTGTCCTCATAGTGGCCATGGTGGAGAAGGCAAGAATCAACCCCATCACCTTCTTCGACACACCGCCGATGCTCTTTGTCTTCATCTCCCTGGGGCGCTGGCTGGAGCAGATAGCCAAGGTTGAGCTCATAATCATTATTCATCTATGACATTAAATGCAGGATCTTAATTTAATGTATAAGTCATTTGGAAATCATCTTCTTCCACCCAGAGCAAGACATCTGAGGCTTTGTCCAAGCTGATGTCCTTACAAGCTACTGAGGCCACGGTGGTGACTCTCAGCAGCGACAAGTCCCTTCTCAGGTACTCTTTGTTCTCTGTACTCATTTTGTGCTCAACCTTTCATATCTTTGTTGGTTTTAGATTACAATATATCTACGGTTTGCAGATTAAATGTCAGTTAAAGGTCTAACGGGAAATAACAAGGACTTCATAAACAATGAAGAATAGCACATAACTCAATCCCAAATGGGATTCAGATGTAATCCTTGATTTATTATGGAATTGTCCAATGCTTTTGTGTGAAATAAAAAAAGTTAGTTGATTGACCATCAAAGGGAAATTCAACTGTAAATGTCATTTTTATCTACTACTCAGATTTCAAAAAACCCTGCTGGGATAATCAATAATTGTATCAGTTGCCAGTAAAGCAATTGTTTATGCGGCTGTGTGGTATACACACTTGGTGCCCAAGAAATACAAGGCAAATTAATACAGCACAAAAACACAACTATAAAAAAACTGTAAAAATCATATGTCAGTTTATAGAAGTGAAAAGCAAAAGAGATCCAACTACACCGTCCTCTAAGAGTTTGGGAGGGTATAAAGGAGTGTCGTTGAGTTTGTTGGTTGATCAAGTGGAAGTCTGAGAATGCGTATAGATTTCAGAAATGGAAACTGTAGATATAAAGGGGTTGGAAGAATCAGATGGGATGGATTCTTATTTTAGTTATTTGTTCCTATATAACTGTTTGTTGTAAACATCCTATCCAACTTATTGAGTTCATTTCTGTGTTTGACCTTGAAAGTTAACAGCTCATAAAAGAGAAAGTGAGTACAAACTCCTTAGAAGATATATAAAACATTGTCATCAGGTCAACCTGGCACTTCCTGAGGGAAAAAGAGATGCTGCCTTTTCTTGTTCACTGTGTCAGTATTACTCTCAAAATGCTATTGTCTAGTATAGCTCCCAAATACATGTAGAGCTGCCCTTTTTCTATATTCTGTCCATCAATCACTGTCTGCAGAGAACCTCTTTAAATCAATGCACAGTACCATGGGACATTACCTCTCTGTGCAGGCTCACTGTATGCCTTCATACAATTGGGCATGCTTATTTACTCTAGTGTAAGATATAATTACAGCAGTAGTGTAATGATAGCCTGGCGTTGTATCCACAGTGTATAATTTAAAGTGTGTGTGACGTGGTGTGTTCCAGCGAGGAGCAGGTGGATGTGGAGCTGGTGCAGAGAGGCGATGTGGTGAAAGTGGTTCCTGGAGGGAAGTTTCCAGTCGATGGGCGGGTCATCGAGGGACACTCCATGGCCGACGAGTCTCTGATCACAGGTTGGTCGCAGTGAAGGAATGGACCACGTACCTATTCGATTAAAGGCCCAATATCAGTATTGGTTAGATGAAAGTATAAGTATTCAGATAAAGTGAGCCAAGGCAAGAGATTTGACTTGCGTTCTGATTGGTCTCTAAAAATGTGTTACTTTTAGCTGTTTGTCTTGTAGTGTGTTATCTACTGTCCCAGTGTTGACAAAGTTCACTACACTAGTTATTAGCCCTGATTTGTCACATTGTTGGCATTCAATCAGAAATGTACTTAAGACTATGAGAAGATAAATTACCATTACTAAGAAACATGTAATCTTTGGTTATTATTTGAGTTGGGGCATATTTTAATGATATTGCCAAACATTCAAGATAGTGGACATAGTATTTTGCATATTCAATCTTTTTAAACAACATATTAACATCATCATGGAAAGTTATTTTCCTTAAGCTTTGAAACAAAAAAGAGATATTCTCTGCAGCACCCCAATAACATTTTTAAATCAACTATTCTGCCTCCTGAGATTTGAATATTTCAGAATTCCATATAGCAATTTCAACATAATTGTAATTATTAGTTCAGCGCTCATTTGAGTCCAAGTCTTTGCCAAAACAGCAGATTTGCTCCAGATGTGGCGCTCCTTTTTCCCGCTGCCCTGCCGTGTTTCCTCACCAGCTGTTGCTCTGACTCCAGGTGAAGCCATGCCGGTGACGAAGAAGCCCGGCAGCTCAGTGATCGCAGGCTCCATTAACCAGAATGGCTCTCTGCTGGTCCGGGCTACACATGTTGGCCTGGACACCACGCTGTCTCAGATCGTCAAACTAGTGGAGGAGGCTCAGACTTCAAAGGTGAAATATGTGGTTGGAGATCTGCATGGTGTCTACCTGCTTTGAGGATCATTGCTCAGGTATTTAATTCATGACATTTCTTTTTTAGGCTCCCATCCAGCAGTATGCAGATAAGATCAGTGGCTACTTCGTGCCCTTCATTGTTGTCATATCTTCACTCACACTGGTCGTCTGGATTGTCATCGGGTTTTTAGACTTCTCTCTGGTGGTGGAGTACTTTCCTGTGAGTGTTATTGAATTCTTGTTATCTGACTTTACCAAGCTCCTCAGTAAAGCATCAGGAAATTATTTTTTACAGAATTGAAACATTACAAATGTCACTGCATCTCATTTTGTTCACTATTGCAATTACACTTTCTTATCTTCAGTGATAGTAAAAGTGATTTGTATTTCATTTTAACGGCCCTATTTTCTCCCTGCAGGGTTACGATAAGAGCATTTCCAGGACAGAGGCAGTGATTCGCTTCGCCTTCCAGGCCTCCATAACGGTGTTGTGCATCGCATGTCCCTGTTCCCTCGGCTTGGCAACCCCGACAGCTGTCATGGTGGGCACAGGGGTTGGTGCCCAGAATGGCATCCTGATAAAGGGAGGAGAGCCACTCGAGATGGCGCATAAGGTGTGTAAATGATCATTTTGTAACACTCATACGTACGGAACAACTGTCAATTAAACACATTGAAAAGTGGTTCTGGTATCTAAGCTCACAAAACCACATTAGTGTAAGGTTGCTCTGATTTAAATACTGCTAAAACGTTTAATATTGATCCTAAATGTATATTTGTTTTACCTTAGGTCCAGACAGTGGTGTTTGATAAGACTGGGACAATCACATATGGCGCCCCGAAGGTGATCCAGGTCAAGATAGTTGTGGAGGGGAACAGGATGCCTCGCTCCCGACTGCTGGCCATCGTGGGCACAGCTGAGAACAACAGTGAGCACCCTCTGGGAGCAGCCATCACCAAATACTGCAAACAGGTTGGCTCCTACCTCACATGTAACGCCCACCCAGGAAAATGTCAGATGCTCTACATGATTGTTAATTTCAGAAATCAGAAACATCAAGTAAATATGTTCGTCGACAACCTTTTTCCATTACTTTGACAAGACGGCACTTATGTCATCAGCCAACAACCGTGACTAAATCAATAAAAGTGATAACGTAACAGTGCAATAAAGCAAAGTCTGAAAGATCTAGTTTAAAGATGAAAAAACCCTTTCTCATTTTTCGTTGACTAAAAGTCAGATTTTTCTCTCGTTTGCTGTGCTGCCATATCAGGACTACAGCAGCATATAGGGGCGCAGTCAGGAGGAAGAATAACTACATTACTAAAGCTAAGGGGTCCAATGACAACAACTGGGCTTGGAAGAAAGAAATGAGGTGGCATTTTGGCCAGACTTTATTGACTGATCAGTTCAAAAATAATCACGTGACTAAAAAAACACAAGAATGTCATCGCTTTTTTATTGACTATAGATAGACGATAGAATCGGAGGATGAAGCCCTCTTTAATGGTCACACATGTTCATGCACACAGCACACACAGTGACATTTGGTCTCTGCATTTAACCCATCCTAGTACTAGGAGCAGTGGGCAGTTATTGTACAGCGCCCGGGGAATATATATATATATATATATATATATAACTAAAGTAGTTGAGGTTTTATTTTGCTATCATACGATTAAATGCCCACGCATGATCTTCCTTATGAGTCATGAATGTTTTATTTAACATCCATCACTTTTTGTTGTGAAGGAGCTCAGCACGGAGTCTCTTGGCGCCTGCACGGACTTCCAGGCGGTGCCGGGCTGTGGGATCAGATGTCAGGTCAGCAACACGGAGACCCTGCAGAGGCAGTCGGACAGCGACAGCGAGGACAACAACCAGCGCAACAGCATCCTCGTCCAGATCAGTGACACCCGGATGTCCACCAGCTCCCATCCCCTCATCATGGACCCACAACCGCTAAGTATGATGGGGATCACCTTTTTGTGGTTTTAACAGAAATACTGAAACATTCTTATGTAGTCCTGAGATTATTTCATTTAGATTTAAATGTTTTCCGTTCATGGTATGCACAAACTCAATGTATAACAATTATTTACAAAACATGTCTCTGTAAACATACCCAGTGGCGTTTTTATATGTACAAAAGTGGTGGGGCACAAAAAACTTAGATGTCTATATACAGGGGTGCACATAACTGGTACGCAGGTACGCATGCGCGGCAACAATCTGAAATGCGTACCGTCACTTGTGTCACAAAGCACATTTGCGTACCGACGTTCTTGTGAAGCTTTTCCAGAAGGCGGTTAGATCACCGGACGACAGAGTTGGTCTCCGTGTGCACAGACAGGGCTGCTGTTAACGTCGGTCTGTACAGCAGCCCTGCGCTAAAACAGCTGATGACAACGTTCACACGCCCCGCGGTCACGAAGCGCTGTACTCCACCCCCCCCCCGTCAACAATCGCGAAGCGCTGTACTCCACTGTCACCCCCCGTTGACAATCGCCACAAGTTGGAGTACCAAACACTGACTCCAGGTACTCATCTGAGTACCTCACTGAGAAAGTTGTGTGCACCCCTGTCTATATATAAGCTTCTGCAGTGACGTGCAGTGAGGTTCATGGCTGGTGAGGCACTGGCACTGACTCTTCAGGTTTACAAATCTTATATTTTGACCTAAACCAAAATATAATATTATTTTCAAAAGCTTTTTTTGTCTGATGCTTCGATTAATTTTAAACAGACAGTTCAACAAAAGGATACCCAAAAAATGTAATTTTATCATTTAAATATTGAATTGTTCTCTCTAAGTAAGATCCCATTTTCAAAAAATTGCGGTCTTACCTTGACTTGAAGATGAAGTCCATTTGCCTATCCTTCTGGACAAAAAATTATATAACTTTTTTGTAAAAGTCCTCCTTATCTTCTCGTAGTTTCAAAAGTCTATCATAAATCTAATCGATAGATTTATGATTCGAAAATTATAAAAGTAGGGTAGACATGTGGATATTATCCGGCTGAACAAAACGTGCATTTATCTAACAGGTACGTTTCCCACAGATCTTATTTCGAGCTATTTTCTAAAATCCTATGGAGAAACCTCATTGCTTTTTTGCAGCTTACTTCCTGGTTTTAGGACGCGTCACTGCAGCTCTCTCGTCTCCTCTTCACACACCACACTTTTCGCGGCACACGTACTTACAGCCAATCAGCTCTGAATGATGTGAGATGACGTATGGTGGGGATGGCAGCTCAGTGCCCCTATGGTGTTTTGTTTTTTTGCCACACACATTACATTGAAAAATACTCTGAGCATGGGCAGTGTAGTTTTTACAGTCACCGTTCACTTTGACAGTGAGAGGGTGGGGCATGATCAGGTTTTGTCCCACATGGCTCAAAACGGCACTGTAGACACTAATTAGAAGAACACAGACTAAAACAGCAATGTACAGACGAATCAGATGATTAAACATGACCTTAAAATATATTTTATATATTTTTTAATTTCTTTTTTTGCATCTCTTTCCATTTTTTGTAATCATTATGTGTAATACTTTCTGCTGACACTAGGTGGGGCTGTGCCCCACCTGCACCTAATGACCAGTCGCCACTGAACATACCATACCCGAAATGGAGCAGGGAGAAGAAAATAATCTTATATGACCTGCCCCTTTCTCTAAAACAAAATAGAAATAGATGGTCTGTCCTTCATATTTTCTTATTCACAGCCAATCATTGCTGTATTGTAGGAAAATAAGAGAAACACAAAAACTTACAAAAAATACTTAGTTCCCACTTGACAGTTACGGGAAAGAAACAAAAAAAACAACACCAAAACATCACATGAACAAGGAAAGGTGCAACACCCTCATCTGAGTCCAACTGGAGTAGAAGGGGAAAGCGGCGCATAATAATGATAATAATAATAATAACAATAATAATGGGACCTGCAAATAAAGAACATATAACGTATTCACATTCCGCGGCTTCATATAGTCCCATTTTTCTTAATTTATACAAGTTCTTTAACTGAAAAAAACCTATACAATTCTTTAGATCATTCTGTGGAGAATTCCACAGTTTTACACCAACCACCTAAATACACATCTGCTTTAAAGTAGTACAATTACATTTCCTTCTGTGGTCTTCATCGTCTGATCCCAAAACAAGCAACTGTTGTAAATTGAATTAATTTAGGTAGTGAGACAGTTGTTTCTATGCTGTTGTCTAACCTCATTGATCTCTGTGTGAAGGCCTCGTCCAGACGGCCACCTACATTGTCCTGATTGGAAACAGAGAGTGGATGAGGAGGAACTGCCTGCAGGTCAGCCCGGACATCGATGAGGCCATGATCGAGCACGAGCGCAGAGGACGCACGGCTGTCCTCGTGGCTGTCGACAGTGAGTTTAGTTTAGTTTATTATTTTTTTTCGAGCGTGTAAAACCAAAGAAAATACAAATGAAACAAAAGGTGATACAGACATGATACAGTACTATACAAATGAATGCAATAACAAAACGAAACATTTAATTAATAATTGAATAATCTGTAGTATCATTGTCTGATATCAATAAACAACAAAGCTTTAGCTAATTACACGTCCGAAAAGGGGTCGGAAGTTTACACTTATTTAATATGAGTAGCTCTGTTTCAGATGAAATGTACACTGTTTGTCATAATTGTCTGATTGCTGAAAGTAATTTTCTGTCTAAAACTACATGTATTCCTGTTAAGCATGTTACTTTGTGTTGTAGACACTCTGTGTGCGATGATAGCCATAGCAGACACGGTGAAGCCAGAGGCGGAGCTGGCCGTCCACACCCTGCTCAGCATGGGGCTGGAGGTGGTGCTGATGACCGGAGATAACAGCAAGACGGCACGAGCTATCGCTGCTCAGGTACGACAGAGACATAGAGCTGGGCGATGTTTGGGAGAACGCAATGTTAATTTAAAATTACAGTGTTGCTTTTGGAACAAACAACAGCATACAAATCACAATATATTACGACATCATGGTATCCAAGTCGTATAATATTAAGCACTTTTAATGAGTGAGAATTTTTGCACTTCTGGTTTTTGAATGGGTTTTTCGTGAGATGCCAGAAATAAGCGGAGTGGTTAAGCCCACTTCAAGCCGAGATTTCAAGTTTTTTCTTCTACAGTATTAATGTCACAAATTCGACTACAATGGTTGTCGGGACATTAATGTAATCGCGCAAAACACCATAAACGCAACACTAGTCGGCTTCTAGCTTAGTGGCGGCGTTGAAATCATGCTACCACTTTAAAAATGATTAAATTGTTGTTCATTTGTTAAGATTGTGCTGCTGAACAATACATATAAGTACCGTTATCTTCGCCACAGAGCTTATTGTATACAATAATCCAAAATTCAATGGAAAAATACCAATGGCTTCTTGTCCAAGGCAACTGGGCGATGCTACATTCCAGCAATCCTCTAGCAACAAAAAACCTTCTTAGACACATAGTCCAGGTCTTCTTTTTTGTATATTTCTGTGTTTCTGAGCCCATTTCCCTGCATTTCCTCAGGTGGGCATCAGGAAGGTGTTTGCCGAGGTGCTGCCCTCCCACAAGGTGGCCAAGGTGGAGCAGCTGCAGCAGGCAGGAAAGATCGTAGCCATGGTGGGCGACGGCGTCAACGACTCTCCTGCTCTGGCCATGGCTGACGTAGGCATCGCCATAGGAACTGGGACAGATGTGGCCATAGAGGCAGCAGACGTGGTGTTGATCAGGGTGAGGATTTGAGCTTGGGGGAGGGTTTTTTTTTGGTTGCAATAAATGAATATCTCTAGACACGGTGTCACAGAGCACAACACTGTATCCTCAGACAAGATGTTAAATTAAATTATAATATGCCAGTTTTTTGCAAGACATAAATCTATTACTGGTCAATAATTCTGGGTAACTCAAGAGAAAATCATACATTCCTATTTTAGCAGTACTGTTACTTAAAAGTACAGACGTTGGTTATTATGTAACTTTTGTCTTTATTTCCTAAATTGTGAAGTGCTTTATTTTTCCAAACATTTCGTTATCTTAAAACCAGCAATGTATAGCTAATGACATGACATGACAATGCAGAATAATGCTTTTAAAAAGAAAATAGTTTGGTTTTACAAAATATATTCATCCACTTTGGACCACTGGTTTCAAAAATCTATGTATAAATACTGAATAAAACTGTTTCCTTATCTGAAATATCTACCCTTTTTTCTTACGCTGGTCTCGTCTTGTGTGCAGAATGACCTCCTGGATGTGGTGGGCAGCATCGACCTCTCTAAAAAGACCGTCCGGAGGATCAGGATCAACTTTGTCTTTGCTCTTATCTATAACCTGGTTGGCATCCCTATTGCTGCTGGTAGGTGACTGCCAGGGTTTGTTTGAATGATGTCTTCTCATTGACAGTGATCAGTGCCACAGTTTGGATCACCGCACTGATAAGAGCCGTGTCTGTCCTCAGGTGTGTTTCTCCCCATTGGTCTGGTGTTACAGCCGTGGATGGGCTCTGCTGCCATGGCGCTGTCCTCGGTCTCCGTGGTCTTATCTTCCCTGCTGCTCAAATGGTAAGAGATATTTAATCTGAGAAACTACTGGCAAACACATCCTCTTCTCTGGCACTATTCCATTTCCGTAACATGAAATGAAACTCTCTGAAATACACGTTTAAGTGTTAATTCTACTGCACATGTCAGCATGTTTGCATACCGGTATGTCAATTTCTCTTCAAGATTCAAGGCTTTATTTTCATGTGCACATTTAGATATGGCAATGAAGTCACAAGCTCCTCCAACAGTGCAACATGAATATATAGGACATAAAATAGATAAAATAGTGCAAGAGAATGTTTTGAGATGTGCAAGTAATTACAAATAAAATAGAAATAGTGCAAGAATAGTCTATAATATACAAGTCAATGGAATATGATATATAGATAAATAATTAGCAAAATGCAAACAGATGAATGTATTGTTATTTGCACATTTGGAAAACATACCAAAAAAAAGTCTTATTGTAAGTAATTGGGAAGTTTTAAGACGCCATCTGTATGTTTACTTTAATTTAATGTGATTACTTTACCCTATTTGCCTGTCGCTTCGAACAAATTGTCCTTCATTTACAATACTTATCTTTAAAGGCAGTTTTCTACAAATAAGCTTGTTATCACTCAGACAGAAATTCCCACTTCATTCATTTAAAAAAAGAAAAAAGTGTAACACAAAAAATAATTGTGTTAAAGGTGGGGTAGGTAATTTTGGAGAAACCAGCTCAAGTGCGCTAGAATTTGAAAATACACAGCCGGAAAAAATCTGCCACTTCCTTACAGAGCCCCTCCTCCAACACACACGAACGCGCACATGACCAATGAGGGCACGAGATAAGTTTGTGCACAGATGGAAGGCTGACAGGCAGGTAGGCCATCCAGTTATTTTAGCCGGGCCGGCTAAAATGATTGGTCGTGCTTTTTACAGTACTACGGCTTCCACAGATGACATTTTTGTATGGATTTTTTGTCAAAGCACTTAAGATATTCATTGCTATCGGGATGTTAAGAGCATTCCATGGAATATAACAAAAAGTGTATCTCGAGCCGGTTTCTCAAACTTACCTACCCCACCTTTAATGTCTATAATCAGCTGGTTTCATTATGATATATTTTGAGTTTTTAACCCTTCACCTGTAGTGTGTCCCCTTAACGTGTTTTGAGGTGTGCTTTTTCCTTCTCCCTTTTTAAAAATATTCCTCTAAAACCATTTCCCATCGCTGTCCACATTAGTCTAATCCCGTCTTCTGGTCTCTGCTCAGTTACACAAAGCCCACGGCGGAGATGCTGGAGGCCAGGCTGGGGAACAGCAGGCGTCCGGGCAGCCTGTCCGACGTCAGCGTCCACATCGGGATGGGCGAGATGCGGCGTCCCTCCCCCAGACTCAGCCTGCTGGACCGCATCGTCAACTACAGCCGGGCCTCCATCAACTCCCTGCGCTCCGACAAGCACTCCCTCAACAGCTTGGTGCTCAGCGAGCCCGACAAACACTCCCTGCTGGTGGGGGAGGCGCAGTGTGAGGAGGAGTTCTGCTGAGGCTCACACGGCCCTCATGGTTTTAAGCTGAAGTAGATAACAACATTTATTCTAGGCTAGGAAATTGAATAATTGCTGCTGTAGGTGCCTTAGGGCAGCAATGTTGACTTGGAAAAAAAGCTTACATGTCCCTGGATTTTCTTTTAGCTCAACCAGCTGATCACATGCACTTCAGAGAGGGAGGAGAGGTTTCTCTCCCTCAGTTGCAGACTATCTTTTGTTGAGGTCATCGCCCCAGGGCCCAGTCTTTGACTGAGCCTTTGACTCTCTGTGGGCATGAAGCATCTACAGAGCTTTGAAGCGTCCACATCCAGGAAGCAGAGAGATAATCGCCTCTGATCTGCCAGTACAATCTTTCCAAAGACATTTTAACCGTGGTGCCCGGTATAAGAGAAGACACTACCAGGTTATATTTTAACACTTTACCTTAAATGGGAAATTATAATGTTGTATAATTATATTCCAGAGTATTTATATTACCCTTATTTATCTCTTTTTTTCATTATATTCTATGTGAAGAATGAAGTTGTCGAATCCAAATGTATCCACAGAATGTGTAATTACTGATTAAGGAAAGGCATGAAGACTCGTGAAGTCAATCGAAAAAGAAACCAGCTGAAGACTGAATTTTGTGCTACCAGAGTTGGCTGTTAATGTCACATTGTAACCCAAGTGCCAATCCAAGTGCCACCTCGGCAAAGTCCATCACATTCCAAAGATAGCAGCGCACAGAGGTTACTTTGGATTAATGTGGATAAAGTGTGAACAGAGATAAGGTCAACGCCTCGCAGCAGAGACGCTGAATGGTGACGGCAGGTATAGAACACCTCTCATAGGTTTCTATAGGTGTGTCTGCATCTTCAGTTATCATTGTTAGAAATGAACAGAAATTGTTACATGGGTGACTTTGTGCTGAAATTACTTTATTTGCTCGTTGCAAAGAGAAGGTTTTGTGTTGGATGCAGTTCGTTGTGAAAAAGAAAAATGTGTCTTTTTATACAGAAGACATGTTGACATGTCACACACAGGAAAAGCAGAAGGGAAGTTAATGAGGAATGATGTTGGGAAACTTTAATAGAACGGACATTTTCACTAACAAATATCCTTTTCCTACTCAAGTCAAAATGTCTGCTGTGGAAAAGGCCTTTTGCGAAAGCCTTTGTTTTCTTTCTGTCATCACACTAGATAAGATGTTGTTACTGTTTCCAGGAATTTATTTCAGTGGTGGCAAATCTCTGCTTTTTATTATGTGATTCACACTGTTGCACTTGATCAAAGAACCATCTTTAAACCCAGGGGAGCAGGAAACACAGCTGTGACTCAGCAGTTCCACCAAACAAGTTACTGAGAGGCAAATATTGAAGAATTAAGTAGATTGTTTCTTTAAAATCATTGTAGGAGAGGAAAAGTTGAGATTACATCTTGCAATCAAAGACAGCTTCTGGTCAGCTTTATTTTTCTATAATGTAAAAGTATTTCAAAAATGATGCTGAATTATTCTCTGCTGTGTCAAATCTGGAGATAATCATTACAGTCCAGCTATTCCTTGCATTTCTGTGTCCCAAGCTTCTATAGTATTTCTGTTAGGTGATATAAAATACCATCAGTTTGTCCTGCCACTTTCCCATGATGCATTATGTTCTGTAGCTATCACAGCCAGCTAGGTGCCAATCTGTTGTTGTTTGTTTGTTTGTAAAGACGTCCATAGGGCTTAGGATCTGTGTGCACTTAAATTTAAGCAAGTCCATGTTTGCTGTCTTTCATATTTCTTCTGAACGTGATGTGCCTTGGAATAAAACGCTTTTGTAATCTCACTGTGCAGTTTCAAACACAAGGTGGCGCCATGGAGCCGACAGTTAAACATTACCGACATCAGATTTCATCAACTTTATTTCTTCCAGTAAGTCTAAACATCACATCACCGCAGTTTACTGAAAAACAGATATATTTTCTTAAATCATTTTTAAGATTAATGCAGACTGTAAATGACTTCTTCCTCTTGAGTTGATTTGTATCGCTTTGGCTGTAATGACAATCTCATTTGGTAGATTGAAACTTGTTAGTTATTAGGTAGTTAATTTCATATTTTTAACACATTAAAGGGGGATTAGTTCTCATTATATGCAGTCAGAGCAAGTTCAACTTCCCTCGCTGATTTAAGATGTGCTAAAAAGCGTGGTGGTGAGGAAACTGAACAGGTCTAAACAAGTATTTAAAATGTGCAGCATTTAGAATCTGTTACCATATTGTGCTTTCTGGACAAACACAGCGTTAACAGCTGAAATTAGAAAATGCTACATTCAGTTACCTTTAACACTAGAATAACAAACTTCACTTCAAACCAGCTAGGGAACCGCTCCATCTCCAACACATCTCTCTGGAAACACTGACGATCTAAAGAAAAGTTACTTATACAGCAATATATGTAATAGATTTACAGTATATTTAACATTTAACACCTCACAGAAATTACACACCATGATGAGCAAAAGATGCAATGAAATCAAATCTTCATTCACAAGCATTTGATTTTTTTGAAAAGCAAATCTTTTAACACACTGGATCCTAAAATCCTTCATACCTTTTCAAAATGAGGATAATTAATACTGTTAGTTTTGTGGCTCCAAGTCCATCTTTTTCACTCTCTTAATTTAAAATATCCAATTATAAATCTGCCATGCCGCTGTACAGTCTCCTAGAATTCTTCCTCACAGTTATATTTCATTACAGCAGCTGAAAATGCAAAATGAAAATGCAATCAGCTTTAAAAAGCCAGAAGGCCCACACAGCACAGGAAACACCAACCGTGTCCAAACAGAGCAGGGAGAGATCATAATGTCCGTCATAATTAAAACACATATTCATTAGATTGATCCCTGTCTTTATATATCATCCTTTCCCTGGAAAATACTATCTTGAGCATGATTTTGGTATTGTTTTCCAAACACTGACAGCCATGTCTAACATGTGGAATATAGTACCTCGAAAACAATGTGATATAACTGCCACATTACCATTAAAATGTATCACTTTGTGCGGTAATAATCAAGCCTCTTAGGATGCTGCGTTGAATTACAGAAGATGGATACTATACATACACGTTTGTGTAAGGTATGAATGAGTGTTTGTGGTGTCACTTATGGTGATCACTAAATCCTGGATAAACACTCGGACATATGGAAGTTGGAACCTGTGTGTTTGCTCAATTATTATTGACACATTTTGTCACTGCCGTTCAGCTGTCCTGAGTTTGGCCTCTGTGTGACTAAGTATACATAAAATCATTAGTTTTCACAGAGGTTAATTCATACAGGCGGTTTGTTCATGCATGTTGGCAAGCAGAATAAATAGTACGATACACTGATTATTAAGACATCAAGTAGCACCATGTTGGCTCATGGATGGTTGTTACCATCATAGCGTCACATTTTGTGGGGTGGATCCCTGGAGAGTTGTCAGATTCATGGTTACGACGTCAAGAGGCCTCAAGGCTTACTGAACGTCACTCATTTGGCAAAATGAACTGATTAAAGTGGATGTCATTATTAGGAATAACCCTATTGAGGGTAGGAGGTTGTGATTGTTGATGTGAGTACAGATTTGGCAAATGCATGAACAGCAGAGGTCTTCGTAAAATCAATGTTAAAGTCTGATTATAATGCAGGTGAGAAATAGGGTGACAGCCAACCTTTACATGAAAAAAAAAATCAATTGGCAGTGACATGCAACCGACAAGTTGCTTAGTTCAAAATAAAAATAAAATACTGCACAGACAAAATGTCCACCTAAAACACCCTTACAATGGCCACTATACACATACGTCATGATAAACATTGTACTTTTCATCCGGCCCAGACGGAGAAAATCTTCTATAGCAGTTACGATAAAATCAACAATCACATTGACAAAAGCAAACAAAGAGACTGACAGAGAGGTAGTCCCTAGATATCCATCTGAATCTTGAACATGAGGAGACACAAACTTAACTTTGGCACACTGAATGAGGAGGGGCTGGCCGAGAGGCGAGGACTGAGCCTGCAGCTGTGCTATGGCAGTGTTTGGATGGGGGGGCTGCACACTCATAGCCCCTTGTTGAAGTAGACCCTCTCCACTCCTGGGTTGTTGGCCCGGATTTTCTCCTGCAGCTCGGGCTCCAGGCGGCTGACTAATATAGAGCTGGGGAAAGAATGGGAGAAACGCGGGGGTTAATGGGTCAAACACATATACACTGCAGGCGTGTTATGCAACTGTTCAAGCAGAGAATAATCATGCCACCTCTGCATATATTAACCTAGAGAGAAGCTACTTTTATCTCAAGGTCAAGTTTGAACGTGTCACTCACCTCTTCTGAGGGAACAATGCGCAGCACAGTGGAGTGGCAAACACCAGGCTGAAAAAAAACACAGATCTATGAAACATACAGACATACAGCTCAGAACTAACTGTCCTGATGTCATCTGGTTTATTCTGTGGACCATATATGTGCAAAAATAAAATGGCATCCATCAAAAATGCCTATTTGTGGATATTTTAGTCTGGACCAAAGGAACTGACAGATTGATATTCGTACTGATAGAGCTACACTGCAAGCCTGGCTAATAATGTTTTTTAGTATTCAGTCAATTAAAAACCAACCAAGTATTCAACTTCCACCGATGTTCATAAGTGCGCTAGTTGGCAGGATGTGCTGCTCAAATCAAAGTCATGTCGTCTAAACTGAACTGAAGGAATGCGACACATGATTTTAAACGGGTCAATTTGAGGTCACAAGAGGAGTCAGGAAATCCTCAGAAATACATGTGGGAGGATATTGTGGGGGAAACTTCTGAAGCAATTGGAAACAGGACTCAGAGAGACACGAGGAGAGCTGGAGCTTTGATGTCAAATACTGAGGGTTTATTTGGAGCTTAGGCCGGAGAATTCACAAGACATGTCACGGGCCACGAGTTGACCACACGGATGAGATGCCAAACCAATTCTGAAGAACCCTCCTGCAGTTCCAGGTGTTAACTAGTTCAGAGTGTAATAATCAACATTCTTCAATAGATAGACTAAACAGCTGAGGACACTGAATCACATTTGTTGTCGCGTATGGCTCGGGGTCATCTACACCCCGAGAAGGATGTATTCCAGCTGTCCTAAAACAATAACTATCTCTGACCGAAAGTTGCCCGGTCATAAACTGGTAACAACAACAAAATGCTAGGGCAGCCCCTCCTTAAAGGGGAAAATGGAAAATGCAAAATGCACTTTTGTACGTCTTTTATACATGAATATGTGTCCCCGGTGTTCCAGGGAACTCACCAAGTGTCAGAAAACACAACCCTCTCTATTTTCCTCCATACCCAAATCTCTAAAAAAGGGGCTGCAACGGATCTGATAAAAACTGATCCAGATTTGAACACTGTCCTGACGTCAGGACAGTGGCGCTACGGCTATTGGGCCAACTCCACCAATCAGGAGGAGACAGCCACGGCCATTGCCGTTCGAAAGCGCTGGAGACGCTGTAGTACATATGCCAGGCCTGTAGATGGTGCTGTTCTCACAGAATCTGCCCTTGCAAATCCAGAGCTAAAAAATGTCAAATTGAGCAAAATGAGGCATGGCTAAAATGCATGATCTGTTTGGTATTTTGAAAAAAAAAAGTATAAATATGCCTTATATAGGTATGGTCCTACACTATATTATTCAAATATAGCATGATAGGTCCACTTTAAGGGAGATAGCAACTGCCCAAGGTCGGGCATCTGCGTCAGAGGGCAAAAGTTAAACATGTATACAGAATTATTCCCTGACAGATATGTGGATCATTTTTCAGAGGAAGACAAAACCGGATCTGAAGCCCTTTGTAGAAATGACTCATTGAGAAATGGTAAAAAGGCTGAGATAGGCATAGGTAATAACCACTCTTACGTGCAAATTCCCATTGAGATACTTCCCAATTACTGTAAAAGACACATACATCTTATGATCACTGACATTTCATATCGATATAAAAGATAATAATTGGACATTTCAATGGAATTTGACGTGGCTGCTTATGAGGTGGACCGTCTCTGACAACTCACCAGAATCCCACCAGGCCGACTTGAATAGGTGCACTCATCCATGGGAACTTCTGAAAAGACCAGGCAGGAAAGAAAACCCGAATGAGGGGCACAAAAGCAGTGTTGCATTCCCATACTAGAGTGGCCTTGTGCCCTCAATGCTTTTCATTCCTCTGATGTGTGTTGACGTAAAGAAAACAGAAGCTTACCCTCAGAAAAGCCTTCTTTTCCAAATGGTTCATCAAAAATGGAGGGATAGCTAAAAAAGACACACATTAACATTACAACACTTTCAACTAAATCTGTGACAACACAATAAAGTGGGTTGATATTTATTGTACAAATGATCCGAACATATTACCCATTCCTGGAGAGGCCATGAGGATCCTGGAGACCACGACCTGAGAGATAGCCTGCTTTGCAGCGTTCGTCGACTCTCCTAACCTGTTGTCATTCTCATCTGTGATGGGAATGCCGTGTTTAAGTTCTCTGAAAACAAGGACCAAAAGCATATTTAAATCAGAATCAACTGTCCTTTTATTACACAGATCAGGGGTAATGGCCCAACATTTTCAGATACAAATGTAAACAAGGATATTTCTTTAGCACAAACTGCGACAGGTAAACATTACTCAGAAAAGCATCTATTTTATATAATATTCTTGGTTTATCTTGCTACAATAATAATATAAATTCAAACATACACAGATATTTTACCAAGTATTTTGGTATGTATTCATTACATTAACAAAAATACTTTCTGTATTCTAGGAATTCTGCTGTCAGAGACCCGAAGATTACAGAAAGCCTGTTTTCACAACACTGAAACTATAGTCCTCTTAGAATTAACATGATAGCATTTATGTGAAACTCTTAGTGCATCTTCTGCAAAAATGTATCTTAACTTCTTGCATCAGCCGTTTTCTTTTTAGCACAACTCTGCTCCCAACCAGAGGTACAATAAGCCACATTATGTACTGCAATTGTCTACATGCTTAGGATGAAGTACTTCTGATGAGTGTTAAATGTCCACTTTACCTTTGTCTCATCAGTGGGATGTTGATACAGTTAGCAGCAGCTACAGCAGCAAATGGAACAAACCGACCAATCAGGGGTGAGATGTGCTACGGGAGGAGAAAGGAGGTATGAAACAGGTTAATTACTCATTAATTTCCTCTTATAGCACCAATTTCACTTTTTCCAATGGTGGAATTTCTTTGCTGCTGACATTTTAGATGTTGTACATGTATTCTTTCTTTTCTCCCATATATCAGGATGTATAGCACAAAGTCACTATGTAAGATGGCTGGACAACGTGCTGATACCAGGGCATGACCCTGTAAATAATACGGCTCTCCTATGACAAAGAAACTATGTGTGCGTGGCTAACTTCATGTCAGCATTAAAATGAGATGCAGAATGAATAGGGTTAGATGAACTGATACCTTTGTGAGTGCATTTAGTCCTAGAGCGGTGGCAACTGCCCCTGTGGTGGCAGACACATACGCTGTGCCAAGCTGACTGTGAACAGAAGAGTCAACGGTCACATCACATGGAAACTGTCCACACACAAACAAATTAAAAGGGTTAATCTGAGCCAGTGCTGAAATATCCCTCCCTTACCTGACAGTGAGTGGAGCATCGCCGCTCCTGTTGGTGTAATTCACTATTGCATTGAACGACTGATTGATCCACTGCCAGAGCAACACAGCTGGAGTTGTCCTGCAGGATGGAAAACAACAGAGTCATTAAAGGACAGCGGTTTTTATTTTTTATTATATTTTTTATTATATCATAACTTAGTACTTTTTAATGCATGTAACATATGTAACATTAAGCTGTCTGTGGCTCTTTTTTCTGCTGTAACTACGTAAATGTCCCCTCTGTGGGACTAATAAAGGTATTCTGATTCTGAGAGGAGCAGGTGGTTTTAATTAAGAGTATAAAAAAACAGCTTTATTAGAAACAGTTTAAAAGAAAAACAAAGAGTACTTTCCCAATGTCCTTCAGTAATATATAACATTGCACAAGTGAAAACATTGTCATTTATAGGAACCCTATCAGCGAAGTAACGTGTACTGATGGCAAGGTTCATACAGCTTTTAGGAGAAAATTCAAGCACTTTCTTTGCCGCTAAACAACACATTTTGAGACTCTTCTAGGCCTTCATTTTTCTTTTGTTTAAACTTGATTTAACCAGGAGTAATTCCCATCAAGGGAGTCCTGGCTGGGAGTCCAGGCTGGTAACTATACATGCATTTGTAAGAAATATTGGCATTGTTTTTTCAAATATTATTATTTTTTTGTTTTGGGGTGATGTGTAACCACAAAAAACAACAACAACCTTGAAGCCATTACAGCTCAAATTAAGCATCTAGGACAGGGGTGTCAAACTCAAGGCCCGGGGGCCAAATCCGGCCCGTGACTTCATTTTCTGTGGCCCCACAAGAGCTTGCAAAGAATTTTATATGTTTATTATACGGTTACATGCCGATTTACAGAAGCACGTTGCCCATAAACTACATGTCCCACAATGCATCTCAAATTAGACTTTTTTCTCAGAATTTGACTTTTTTTCTTCTAAATATGCCTTTTTTCTTAGAATGTGCCATTTTCTCAGAATTTGACTCTTTTTTTTAAATGTCACTTCCTTTTTTTAAATGTCACTTCCTTTTTTTTGACTTTTTTTCCAGCTTTTCTTTTTAAATCATTTTGTGACATTCTCACTGAAGAGACATGAAATGATTTGCCCCAGACTTCTGCTTTCAGACGTAGTTAATTATGAAGTTATTACCCTATCCAATAATAATCCAATACAGAGGCAATAATGTAATATAATACATTATTTTATATATATATATTTATATATAAGTTACAACCGGCCCTTTGAGTGCAGCCATAATGCTGATGTGGCCCGCGATTAAATTGAGTTTGACACCCCTGATCTAGGACTACAAACAGTACCAGGACTCTTGAGCAGATAAATGGAATTCAGCAGTGTGCATTTTTAACTGTGACACATACAAATATCTTCAGTGAAAGATGCTTGTAATGTTTATAATTTCAGAACGAGAAGTATGAATAGTGGTAGGGATATAATTGAAAACCCAACATGTTCCTACTTGTAAAATGTCATCATGCATCCAGTGATCGTCATGTTCATGGGAACCTGCGCTGACATGCGGCCAATCAGGATCATTTTCTCCCCAGTATCGGGATGGAAGGCAGAGTCAAAAACATATTTGGCTCTCCACAGTTCATCTTCAGTCAATCCTGGAGAGATTATACCTTTCCTGGGAGACAGTAAATGTAACATTTAATGTAAACCCATTCATAAGATCCTTATACTGGTGTATTAACCATCTGCACTTGCAGCCGCTTACCTGTAGTCAGTGATGACTTTGTGTGAATTGGCTAGTTGTTCGTTGGTGAGGAGAATGTTCCTGGGGTCTGTGACAGTGAAGAAATGTTTAGCCCGACCTACAAACGTGCTCTGGTCCCACCGGGGCTCTTTGATGTTTATGGAGGTGGATAGCTCTGCTGCCATATTTATCTGGGGAAAGGAAAGCGTTACAATAATCAGCCAGCGCACATAACTATGATACTTGAAGGGTCAATTTTAGTCACCGTATTTACAGTCATTCTAAAAGAGATCTCCGAACAGGTACATGTTTGAGTAATATTTCTCTGGAATCACTGTTTTAGGCTGAAATGTGCTAATATTGTTCCAGGATTTCAGGGCTGACACACGAGTTAGTCACAGCCCCTCACTTCTTGTTTTCTTTTGCAGACACAAGTCAGGGTAGGGACCTTGTGAAAATGATGCGCCTCTGTGGATTTGCAATGCTGCTTATTCAGCATTATGTTGCTATGGTGATGGCTGACCTGACACAAGGGTTGTGAAGCACTAAATTGGAAAGCCCCATTATGAGTGCACACCAACCCCCAAACTGTGGCTGAAAAGCAGCTCTTGTTAAAAGTGACAAAGCCCACTGCATGTGCGTTGTGACCAACTGAATGGCAGCTCTACATATTATTTTACTATCAATGAACCACAAATTGTTTTAGAGCAAAGCAGGTTATGCAACGCTTTATTAACACCACTACTAGTGATAATTTCATTCAAGTGTTATGCATTTATGATTTCATAATCAAAAACCAGATAAGACTGGCCTGCACTGAATAGACACTGCACTATCAGAAACATCCTCTGTGTATGTGCATGCAGCATGCTCATTCTCCCCAGTGTGTGTCCAGATAACCCAGTCTGATCTGGTTTTTAACCATTTGTGCTATGCTCCAGCTGAACTACTGAAAGGTAGGGGACACATCAGCAGCAAGTCAATGCAAAGATCTGCAGCAGCTGCATGATGAAACTCCTTTTGAAATTGCACCAAAGATGGCTGCTGGATTGACAATAAAACAGAAATCTCTCTTGCTTTCTGGCGGCTGTGGCGTACAGGAGACGTGCGGTCTCTTTAAATTGAATTAAACTCCATGGGATTCTCACGAGATGACAACAAAACACCCCCTCATCTGAGATTGTCCAATGAAATACCAAATCTGTACGGCTTGGTTTGAACAGAGCCATATCTGCTGTCAAACTACTGTTAATAGCATTATATAATAATAATAATTCATTAATGAAGGTGATAGAAGAGGACAGAACTTTGGACTGTCGACCTTTGATCTATAATCCTCTGCCCTCACTCTCAGCCAATCAAGGCGTTCTGTGTGGCTACACATTAACCTGCAATTCAAAACCCTTACAATCAAATACATCTTTCAAATAGTATTCGAGATGCATTGCATGTCAGATATGTAATCCCTGATTTCTTGTGTATACGGCATCTGTAACAATGAAAATAGCTGCTTTCTGTCAGTGGTCGCAGGGTAAACATGCTCTGTGACTGGTTACGGTTAATTGTTCAACCCAACGTAGACCAGTCAGATCTGGACTGTAGCTGGAGGTGTCCCTGCCTGCATCCGAACAAAGCGATCAAGCCTTAAACAGATAATACAACATCTAAGTAGCATTGTTTTTAAACGACCAATTAAGCACGGCATCTGTCCAGTCGTGTAATTGTCCAGCTGTGCTCCAGATTCAACTAGTATCAGCCTGCCACATCCACACATCCAGCTGCACGCCTAACGAGTCTAGTTCCCCCGACCTCAGACAAAAAGTGCAAGCTGGATATGTCTATGCTGCAGTCCTGAGGGATCCATCAATTAAAAATAAGCATGGCTAGGTTACTTACTGCACTGTGGGCTCCGGCGGTCTGCAAGAGGTGTCCCTGAAAGGCTGCAGACAGCTAATTTGACATGCAGCGGCGTCAGAGCACACAGAGGCACATCCCCCAGCGGCCGGAAGCTCCCCAACAAAATAAAAGTCCCGTATGAAAGCGCCAATTCACAATGGAAAATATGGGACTTGTACAAGGCCGGTAGAAACAGAACTCTTTCAAATACATGATGATTTTTTAACCAGTCTAGAAAGCAATACAATCGTGGGGAAACACTTGAGGGGCGAAATTAAGTTTAATTTCACTTCGTCCTTCAAACAAGGCTTTTATTTTGAACAGCGAGCTGAGTACTACATCCGGTAACACTGGTATTTTCGCCACGATGATTCGCGGGCAGTAAATTATTAATGACTGGTGAAACTTTGGATTTCCACACAGAGGACTCAGTACAGCAGTGTGACATTGACACCCGTATGTCTTGTGAAGAAGAGATTGACCCTTAAACAAACATTATTTGGTTAATATATTAAGACCATAAAACTGAATTAAACAAAATAAGTCACCTATGGCTAATTAGCAGTATAATAGCTTCCATGTTGTAGTCATTATACCTGTGTTACCAAAATGAAAACCTAAAAAAAGAACCCAATTTCCTGCACACCTTCAGTAAACCTGATAATTACTATCTTGAATGTTCTTTTAGTTCATCAGCAGCTGTTCTTTGGTGCCTGTTTCCATCTAGTGGTGACTGGTGAGAGGAAATAATGCCACAAGTAGTGCTTAAATTGAAGTAAATGACAAAGCAACTTCAGACTTTATTTCATATAGCTGATGCTGCAAAACATTAAGTTGTTTATTTTTCAACCAATTGTCATTGGTACCAATATTGCCTACTTAAATGAATTACAATAACTCCCATAGGAGACGACAGCAGAGCAAGAAGAGAGCGACGTACACTATAACAGGGTATAAAAAGAACATAGTCTGTCAGTGCCATGTGATAAAAATCAAATACAAAAGTGCAAAGAGAACATATTCATTTCCGACGTCTAACCCTATTATCTTACTTCACAAAAAAACTGTTGAGCTTTTGTTACAAAAAGAAAAACAAAGAGTTCACTTTATATTTACTGTTACCTTTGATTTGAGGCCATGCCAAGTGAAAGATGCAGTTTACACACTGTATATGGAAACACTCTAGTCATCATTGACACCCTAACAAAGATGACTTACATTTAGTTGTTATTCTCAGCATTACTTCATTAGTGTTTCCTGGCAATCCAGTAGGTATTGTGACGGTATTGTTCATAGTAGCAATCATTTCTAGCAATAAAAACATCATGCACAGAGAGGAAGTAAAGTTGAAAGGATGGTGGTTATAAGCTATATGTGATAGTTTCCATTCCATTGGATTATGGCACATATGTTTTTGGTCCATGGGGTTATGAATGCTTTTCTCTGTGTGATCTCTACAGGAAGTAGTCTGGTGTACGCCGCGTCACATGAGGCTCCCCTCTGCGTGGTGCAGGGTCGAACTGTAGGCTGAAGTAAACAAAGGACAAGACTCCTCAAAAACTCACATTTTACATGATGTGTTAATAATTAATTTGTAATAAAGTGCCATATCATTGAAAAGTTGACACATTTGTATCAAAAAGATTGTTAAATGTACTTACAAGGAGTATTTCAATGTGTCATCAAGTTCCATTATTGCGGCCTGGTTTCCACAACGATAGCAATAGTTTGGTGCACTGAAGATTGTCACTACATTGCGGTCGTGGCACCAATTATAACCCTGGAACAAAAGATTATCGGCATGTTACCTATTGTACCTATTTACATTTTCCAACATGTAAAGTTAAATCTGCATTTGCAATTTTTCGAATTAAAAAACATAATGATAATAATAATTTTCAGCAGTTAAGCAAACTTTAAGTACCTCCATCACCAGTTGGTGGGCTCTTGAAACCAAAGTTAGGCCATTTGCGTGGTTGAAGGTCTCAGAAATGTCCTGCCCGAAGGTGTAACCAGCACCACGGGGTGAGATGCCCCAGCCACCTCGGTCATCTGGGTCCGACCATAACAGGTCACACATCGGACCCTGAAGCATGGAGGAAACATTAGTGTTGTACAAAATCTATCCAATATGTAGAGGTTTTAGGAAACTGTCAAACTACAGAATTGTATTAAGGCTGCAGCTAAATCGAATTTTTGTTATTGAATAATCTGCTGAGTTATTGTTTAGGTAGGAATTTTTTATTCTATTCATTTCCTATGGATCGATTAATTTATATATTGTTTTAGCTCTAAATTTACATACAATTCATGAATGTGCATAAATGTGCAATACTTGATGTACAAATTATAAAGTATCAAGAGCACCCTTGCATCGACATGCACAATCATATGCCTTAATATAAATGTAATCCATATGTTGTTACAGAATAATCCATAATCTGGAAAGGCCTTAAAGGTGGTTTGTCTAATGTAAAATGTAAAAAATTAACATATGCTGAAATTACCTCGTGAGGAACTTCCTGCAAGCGATCCAGCGCTCTGATGTGTTCCAGTGTGTCTATTGAAGGAGATAATCCTCCATGGAGGCAGAAAATCTTGCAGAAGGGAGAGAAAATAAATCACAGGTGATTAATGATAAATTCCTGTATCTGTGCTTTATCACACACCCTACCTGTGAATACTCAACCTTACCTGGTTATCTACCAGCGCAGTGAGGGGCAGATAGTCAAACAGATCTGTGAAGTACTTCCAAACATTGGCATTTCCGTATTTCCTTAAGCACTCGTCGTAGAAGCCGTACACTTGTGTGATCTGTCTGCTCTCATGGTTCCCTCTGAGAATTGTAATTCGTTCACGGAACCTTACCTTCAAAAGAAAAATGTGAATATAAACAAAATGGAAGATCAATTAGCCATAAACATTATACCTGCCCCAAATCAAACCTTATATGAGCGTGAGAGGCAAAGTATTGTTTTGATTTTTTACCTTCAGAGAAACCAGGAGAGAAACTGTCTCCACAGAATAGTAGCCTCTGTCAACATAGTCTCCCATGAAGAGATAGTTAGTGTCTGGAGACTTCCCTCCAATCTTAAACAGCTCCATCAGGTCATGGAACTGACCATGGACATCTCCGCAGACTGTCACTGGACATCTCACCTCCTGCACGTTGGATTCCTTTGTAAGGATCTCCTTGGCCTAAAATAGAGGACCAGGATAACACAGGGTGATGAACAGGAAACATGGAGTATGGTGCAGGGTTTGCACGTGTTTTACAATAATACACAAGGAGACTGAATTGCATAATTGTTCAGATTGTGAGGTATGCAGCAGATGGTTATAACGTGATGTGGTACTGCCAGTGCACCCAAGTGAGGAACCAGGAGTGGGCGTAGCTAGGAAAACATATTTGCAGGCATCCTCCTCCATCTTCTTGGCGAGTTGCTTCCCTTAACTATGTGCTGCATGCAGCTGCAGCCAAATGGTGCGCTCCAAAGCAAGGCCACATGCAGCCATTAGCTGACGTTATTCAATGCAATACTTTATGATTCAGGATAACAGCGAATGGCCCGCTAGCATTGCAGATATCTATCGACAGGTATTAATAGCTCGCCTGAATTCCTTCCTGCGCAAACCTTACCTTTTCACACAGGACTTTGACCTGATTCTCACTCAGCTGTTTGCACTCATTCAGTTGTTCAATCCATCCGTCCAACTCCTTGGTGAATGACTTGTCGTCCATGCCTGGTTTGCTGTCAGCTAGCGAGCCGACCAGCTTTAAAAACAAATCCGGAAAACCTCTCGCAGTTTCGTTTCGCTTGATGTCCCAGCTATGCTACGTCCTAGCAAGCGCTCTGGTCATTCGCAGTTTGTACGTGTGTGTGTGCGCTCCACGAAAACGAATGCGTCAACTGCCCTGCGTCCCTCCAGTTTGGTAGAGAAAAAAGTGTTTAGTTCACATGATACCTAAATAATGTGACGTAACTATTCACAGTTAAACTTAATGTCATAGAGCCCCTTATTATTGTCACAAACAATACCAATAGCTCAGAGAAATGTAGACCCAACCAGCTAACTCTGGTCCAGAGAGGCTGAGCAACAAATCACATTTACGTCATCGCATCGGTGGTGGGCTCTCTGGGGAGGATTTTAGCAAACAAACAAAAATGCAAATGTGACCCTGCGGGATGAAATAAAATGGGTTTATGTATTTTATATTAATTTTTCATTCTGGTTTAATGTTGTCTTGATCTTGGTTATATAAAGAGTGAAATTGCTCTGTGGCCCTCTGCTGGACGACAGCGGGAACAGTCATGACCAAAGGTTGAACATTAAAAATCCAACAACTTTCACATGATGATAAATTGACTTTGCTGAAGTTTTAAGCACATCCTTTACATTTTTGCAAAGATAATAATGTAACATATGTTGTCTGCCGTTTGTAGCAGTCGGTTGGGGGGCTTCTGGGCTAATAGAAACTATAGCCTATCTAACCACTGAACCTCTTTTTTAAACTTCCCACACAATTAATGTGTGGTCTCTACTGCCAGTTTTATTTTTGACAGTGTGTCTATTTTGGGTTTACGCGTCATATTATATAAACAGAAAAGCAACTGCAATGTTTTGCTTTTTACACTACTGAATGGCCCCACATTTGTTATTTTTAGAAATGTTGTTTATAGACCTGACCTGTCAGAATGCGCCACACTGGAAAGACTACATTACCCACAGTCACACTCACACTCCTTCCTCTCAAGGGCACATGCGCAGTTGTTTGTTCTACTCTAGACAGCTGTAGGAGAAAATGGCAGCACTCATGCTAGGACAGCAGGTAAGACATTCAATGATTTTGGTGATTTTAATCATGTTACAGTGGTTTTGACCGACTTGTTTATCATTCCAGTTGCACATCTTATTGTGTTGTATTCCCTATGGAGACCAGGATGTAACTCTTAATGTGCAAAAAACCCACACGAGGCCTTTGCACTTGAATGACTGCTAATGTGTTAGCCTACCAGCTAGCTCAGTTTAACGTAAACGGTACACTTGGTTCCTAAAGTTAAATCGGCTAATGTTCT